TATTCCGTATTCTTTAGCTACATCTACGGATAGAATACGAGATGACATTCAGCGTAAAGGACGCGAAATTTGGGAAGAAATTAGCTGCGTGTGCTCCTTAAGTAGTCAATACAGAGGAAAAAATGACTGTGAATGGTTTGAAGCACTACGCAGGTTAAGGGATAAATCTCCCACGCAACAAGATGTTAATTTGTTTAACACTAGATTCCGCAGCAAAGATAACATGCCTGACTGGGTGAAGACTGCTAAGCACATTGCTTTTCTTAAACGCAGATGTGGATGACGCTAACGAAACCAATTTAAGAACGAGCCCTTTTCCTGTTGTACAGCTAAAATCACTCCACCAAGTTTTTCAAAAAAAAGCTGTCACCAATGACCAATCGAGAAATTCCGACAGGTATAGTGAACGCTCTCTTAGAACAGGCCCAAGAAAAAGTTTCGACACGAGATCGTGTTATACCTACTGCAGTTAATTTAGCAATTGGAGCTCCTGTTACATTAACATTTAACGTGGACCAAACAACAGGGTTATGCAACGGAACAAATGCGATTGTATATGATCTCATCTTTGTGTGTGGTTTGGAGCTTCCCATTGTCCTGTGCAGGTACTTGACGAGTACTTTGGACCGTCTTTCTTGCCAAACGTCCCAAAAATTATCCCAATCATCCCAAAATAGACATCGTGGGGAAATGCGAGAAGTGAGCTTAAAGTCGTTAGAAGTGGAATCCACTGCGTCTTGCGTATGCTACATGTATGACTATCCACAAAGTGCAAGGTCTTATCTGTTCAAAAGTCGTATTTCATTCAAACTCTTTACCAAATGTATCTTTTGCTTATGTTGCTCTCTCTCGTGTTAAGCATCGAGACGATATAGTACTCACACATCGTTTGAGTTTAGAAAAGCTTAAAATCTCACCTGAACGCGAATCGTACTTTAGAGCAGAAGCATTGCGCGTCGCTGATCTTGTCTGTAGCACACAAAGATCTACATTCTCAATTTTACAAGAAATGAAACACTTAGCAATTGTTCACAACATGCAGTTGTCCCCGAGGTAGTGAATACAAGTAGCAATTATTAACCATTACCACCCAATTAGATGTCATATTGTTAAAAAAAAATAGTTTCTATCTTATAATATTCATTTCTAGTGTTCTAGTTGTGCACCTGCTTTAAAACTACGTGCTACAGCCACCAATAACGCGTAAACCAGCTCTACCGATTGTTATCACCACCACATCGACGCATTTTCGTATGGCATGGCCAAGCTTTGGCCATCACAAATTCCGGGAACCTTATAAGCAAACGATCTCAGGGAATCCCCATTACGTAAAGGTATTGTTATCACAGCCGTTGCAAACGAGAGCAAGATGACAACATTTAATGGACTCGTTCTATCCAATTCGCAACCAACACACTGCTAAAACGGCGAAATTAAAACTTACTAATGTTATGGCATCAACAACGTTCATTGTTTCGGAACTTAGGTCTAATTTTGTAAACAAGACCAACAAAAATATCCCTCCTCTACAGAAAGGTTACTGCAAAGACAATGAACGCTCATCGAAGCAACACGACCCGAACGACCTGCGTGAGCGGCAGCGACGATGGCACAACAATGTATGTATCCTTCCGATGACTTCGGTGGTCAGTTTAAGATCTAATTAGTGGTAATTTGGCAGGGGAAAAATCACAATTAGAAAGATAGTTTACTCGCAATATGCTCTGCCAATCTAGACAATGCAAGTATTCAACTGGATGCAAGAACTCTCTTGCAAAGCGCTCAAACGGTGGCAACTACGCTTTTTGCGAGGAGCACCGACGATATTGTCACCGTAGCGACATCGCAGGTCCTGCCTGTGTGTACTCCACGGCATGTTTCAACGAGGTTGCCATAAAAAGAAATGGAGAACCTCATTCCATGCAGCATCGAGATATGATAAACGCAAAATCCAAGGTCAGGCGTGAAAAGCTTCTGGCAGAGATTCGTACTCAGGGTGGATGCGAGTACGCTTCATACAACTGTACCAGTCCATGCGGTATTCGCAAAGATGGACAGCCTTACCGCATGTGTGACAAGCATCGGACTCAAATTAATCAGTCAAGAAAGAAACACGAGCGTAATAAAGGATCGATAAAGGCCCATTAAACAGCCTACCGAAGCTTTCGTGCTTCGTAATTAGTTAAATGAACTGCGATTTTTTGGCTTAGATGGGGGGCGTCGCTTAAAATTGTGCATTCACAATTTTAAGTGTCGACCCTATTTTAGCATCAAGTGGAGCGCAGCAAACGCGATGCTCACCTAGTATTATAATATTTGTCAATAGGAAGAAACTGAAGCACGAATAAGGATGGCCTCCCACTTCGCCAGCGACACTGGGACTTTTTACTTTTCTTAGTT